TTCATATATATTCATATAAATGCTGATTCATACTTTAAGACTGTTTAATTTTGTATTCTGCAAAGCACGCATATTTATGCTACCTTCTATCTTTTGTCTCTGTCAGGTGAAGTTGTACTTCACCAAGACCGTGGAGGAGCCCTCAAACTCAGAAGCGAGCACTTCAACTTCTGTCACTCCGGATGTGAGTGATAATGAACCCGATCACTACCGCTATTCAGACACCACTGATTCCGACCCAGAAAATGAACCTTTTGATGAGGAACAACACGCACAGATTACAAAAGTCTGAACACTTGGCATCTACACAGACACACACACACACACACACACACACACATACATACATATACACAAACAAATACATGCCGGATAAAAACAAGAAAAACCAACCAACACCAGTGAAATAAAAAAGGAGAAAACTTGAAAATAAACTGAAGAGAAAAGGACCCTTCCTCCTCTACCCCTCCAACAGCTCGAGGACAGTCGTGTCGAATGCCATTGATCACAGACGAAGAAAAATATCCTGACCAATATATTGTTTTACTTCATTTTGATTATGATGAATTTCTTGTGTGGGTAACAACACCATTGCCTGAGGTGGGAGGGAGGGTCCTGTAGCTATTCTGTGTATATAAAATCCCTTTTTTGTGTCAAAGACGTTAAAAATCTAGGCAATCAGGCGAGGGGAGGCGAGGGGAGGTAGAGCAGAACACACATCTCTCCTTCTCCCTGTCTTCACCCAGGCCAGTGCTGCAATCACCCTCTCCCCCTCTCCCTTGCTCTTCCCCTCCTTACTGTGAATGCTTCTCGTGCTGTCCGCAGGCGCTAAGACCTTTGACCCCTTCCTGCGCGGTGTGTGCTGGCGTACGTAGTCCTTCAGGCTGTTGTACAAAGGCTACGGCATGCCAGCGTTCCTTTTTCCTAGCCTCACAACCAACTCCACCCCCCTCACCCCCACCCCACTGTGTATAACGATAAATTATGCAGAAAAACACGACATCCCATGTAATTGTCGTTTTTTTTTCGTTTTTTTTCTTTTTTATCCTAAGATAATAAAAAATATAATACATGAAAGCGCAGGGAACCAGTGTTTGCAATAATGTTAACACTCAACATTTAAAGGACAAATTGGTGTGCATGTCATTGGAGTCAGTGTCCATGTTTAATAAATGCTATATGATGTGTTTTTATTAAAACAAGTGTCAGAACTCTCTGAAACAGTTGTCTGAGATCCATTTACAAAAGTAAATCAGTATAAAAACTTCAAGCTATAATTGTTTATTGCACTATATATATATATATATATATATTGTGCAATAAACAATTATAGCTTGAAGTTTTGACACTGATGCACACACACACACACACACACCATATTGGCCGATATATATTTTTTTTCTTTTTAATTTATCAGTATTAGATTTTGTTAATGCTCACTTCCCCTACATTGTTAGCTTTGCCATTATCTAACAAGTTGACGCTTCAAACACTAACAATACATAGATGTTCATTTTATTTACTGAAGATTACATTTGTTTTCGAACTGTAAATTATAATGTTGTCATGCCTAAATTGCAGCATTTAAAATAGTTTTTTCTTTTTTTTCAATGATTACAAACAAGTGCACTACCATTTGGGGTTGGTAAGACTTTTTATTATTGAACGTTGTGCTCACCAAGGCTGTGTTTATTTGATCAGAAATACAGTAAACAGAAATACTGTGAATGATTATTATTAGAGTTTAAAATAAAAATACTGTGAATGATTATTATTAGTTTAAAATAACTGTTTTCTGTTAATATATTTTAAAATGTAACTTATTCCTGTGATGGCAAAGCTGAATTTTCAGCAGCCATTACGCCAGTCTTGAGTGTGTCACATGATCCTTCAGAAATCTGAATTCTCACAAATGTTTGATGTATATAATGTTTTTTTTTTTTCAGATTTTTTTGATGAACAAAGTTCAAAAGAACAGCACTTATTTGAAATGTAATTTTGTAACAATGTAAAAGTCTTTACTGACCCCAAATGTTTGAACTATATAAAATATAGAGTTTTAATATTGGCTATTTATTAGTTAACATGAAATATTTTTGCTTATCAGAAATTGGGCAGAATTTTAAACAATGATCCTTTTTTTCCTCTTAAACTTTTTTTTTTTTGGTCATTTTATGAGGATTTAATCTTTTTGAGAATCTTTCCTTAAAGGGATAGTTCACCCAAAAATGAAAAGTTATTTTTCAATAGTCCAAAAGAAGTCCAATAAAGTGCATCCATCCATCATAAAAAGTGTCCCACATGGTTCCAGGGGGTGAATAAAGGCCTCCTGTAGCGAATCAATGTGTTTTTGTAAGAAAAAAAAATCCATATTTAAAATTTTATAAACTGTAATCTCTAGCTTCCGCTAACTGTTGTACGCACGTTCACAATAGAAAAATCGAATGAACGCGCAAACGACAGTTAGCGGAAGCTAGAGATTACAGTTGAAAAAGTTTTAAAGGCCTTTATTAACCCTTTAAAGGGTTATTTCACCCAAAAATTAAAATTAGGCTGTTTTACTCACCCCCGAGGCATCCTAGGTGTGTAACATCCAGTCGGAGTTATATAAAAAAAATGTCCTGGCTATTCCAAGCTCTGTCATTGCAGTCAGCGGGTGATGCAGCTCACGTTATCCCCTCGAATGCTACCCCTACCTGAATGTGGAAATAAGCATCCTTTAAATCCACAGAGATAAACCAATCTCCCGGTCTGTTGTGTGAGAGGATTTGCTTTAGTGTAATCATTTTGAACGAGCGCTTCGAAAGCGCGCGATTCAGCGGTCTCAAATCCAAGATAGGGCGGAGTCCGCCGTCTTTCTTTGGCATCAGAAAATAATGACTGTAGAAGCCGCTCTCACGCTCTGCAAGGGGCACTGTCTCTACTGCGCGTTTTGCGAGAAGATTGTGTATTTCCTCTCGCAGAACTGAGGCATTCTGCTCCCGTACAGTGGACATTAACACACCATTGAAACGGGGCGGTCTGCGGAAGAACTGAAGCGTGTAGCCGTTCTTTATTGATTTCATAACCCACCCTGATACCCCTGGCAGCGTCTGCCACGCTTCTGTGAACTGTGACAGCGGGCGAGGCGGGCTGCATTAAAACGTAATAATCACTTTAATCTAGCTTGCGCTCACTGTTGTACACGGAAGCAGCTCCGGGTGGATGACGTAAGACGCTGCTCAGAAGTGACGAACGTGGAAGCGCAGCGGAGAGATCAAAACAAAACAACGGTCACAAATTAGAAGTACAAAACAAGGATTTGTAAAGAAGAATGTCGGAGGATTTCGATATAAGCCAAGAGGAGACTAAAGTTTGCTAAAGTAAGGAAACTTTGCTTTCTTTGCTCCTGTAAACAAACGTAGGTTTTCACGAGACTCACCGGCGCATGCGCAGGTCTGACCTCATACGTCATTCCCCCGGAGCTGCTTCCGTGTACAACTGTTGGCGCAAGCTACATTAAAGTGATTACATTTTGAATATGGATATTTTTCTTACAAAACACATGGATTCGCTACAGGAGGCCTTTGTTCACCCCCCGGAGCCATGCGAGACACTTTTTTTTTAATGGATGGGTGCTTTTTATTTCACTTCTTTTGGACTGAAGCACTGCAACACCCGCTGACTGCAATGACAGAGCTTGGAATAGCCAGGACAATTTTTAATATAACTCCGACTGGATTCGTCTGAAAGAAGAAAGTCATACACCTAGGATGCCTCGGGGGTGAGTAAAACACAGCCTAATTTTCATTTTTTGGGTGAACTAACCCTTACGTTGAAACTTCCTTTTCAAACAAGGTGCTTGCTGGATGCTCTCTCTCTCCCTTGTCTTGCTGTTAAACTTTCTTCTGTTGGGAATGTAGAATGCATTTCACTATATTATTACTATAATGCAGTCTATAATACATATTTGAAATGGGGGACTTCTATCGGATTTCCAGGTTGATGGGGATATTTTTAGATTGGCATGATGCAAATCCCTCTGATGGGTTTAGGCACATCACTTCAGTAGTCTGAAGCAGATGTTGGTTCAGGCAGCTATTTAGGGCTTAGTGCTTCATAGTAAGTAGTGAAAATTGACTTATAATTACGATGATAAAAAATGTAGTTGATAGTTACTCTGGGAATGGGTAATCTGACTAGTCTATCCAGTAATTGTCCAGTCGTAATGCTGTCTCTGCATATCTGTAGCTTTCTGCAGTCATTAGATTAGAGCGCATAGACATGGAGGAAAATATTAATCTCATAACAAAGAGGAGAGGACATAGATATATAATACGTCATTCTCCTTATCTCTGTCTGCCCTATTGCTTTTGATTTGCCTCTCGGTCCGTTTTATGCCCTTTTGTCCATTTACGCCATGCTCTCATATCCTCTGATGTTGATAAAAGCATCAAACTAGACTCACACCTGCTAATGATGGAGACGGGAACTGTTCCGCTACACTCTAATTGGTTGCCCATTGGGGAGTCATAGAAACCAGCCCTGAATGACCAATGAGGTGCTTGCCCTCCTCTGTCGGCAAGCACTGCTTCTTTCATCAGAGAGGGGTTCAGTCACCAAGAACAGTTGCACCTCCAGTTGACATATTAGAACTTGTCGCTGATGCAATGCCATGACAATCTGGCAACCGTTATGCCCTCTTATGCACATTTTTGGGGATTTTAAGAGCAGCTTTATACAGCAGTGTGATTTGAAAATTGGAAATTCCTTAGCTTTGACTCAGTTAAGTTATTCAGCATTTCAACTAATTGCAGCATTAGCACGTTCACGTTTTTCTTGTTTTCTTTCTCAGTTTGGAAAGTATTTGCTCAACCTGGCAACCCTTCATCTACACTGTTGGTCATTATGAAACTAATCTGGCAAAAACTTGCTGTTAGAGCACAGCTGTGCTGTTTGGATTAGGCCCAGAATGAAACAGGAAGTGGGGATTAACTGGCCTGGGTGACAGGTTCTGCATTTCTTTAAAAGACCTAAACAGCCCTGAGAGAAGTACAGGGGCTGCACTATTTTTTTTTTTCTTTGTCTTTTTTTATTTTTTTTTATTTTTTTTTATTTTTAACGAATATATCTATGGTTTTAGATAAAATCTGAAACTGTATGCTATTTTCAGAATTAACCTAATTACCTCTGTTGACCTAAAAGGAGATCATTCTGCATTTAATAAATTTAGCCCAATAAACAGCATTTGTGGCGTAATGTTTACCACCAAACAAATACTGAGGTTACAGTGAAGCACTTTCAATGTAAGTAAATGGGGCCAATGTTCAAAGATTCAAAAGCAGAAATGAGATGCTTATTTTCTAATAGCACTTGAATAATTCTATTAGAGCTGTAAAATTCAGTTTTATGGAAATTTTAGGTGTCATGGCGACTAAGTACACAGAAAAGTTTAATGATAAGCCATTTTTTTCACTAAAATAAGTCTGTTTTGTAAAAGTATCTTAATGATCTTATGACTGATTCATCCATTTATTTTATTTAATTTTTTATTTTTTTGGAATGTCATAACTTGATCTTCTGGTGAAAACAACATATTTCTCTTTGGAGAGAATTTTTTCCATTTGTCTTTTCTTTTTCCATAATCTTTCCATAATCATTTGAATGTATGTTCTGCGAGTAAACACTGATGTTATGCCTTGTGCCTATACTATTGAAACATTTAGTATTTTAACATTTACTTATTGGCCTCATTCACTTTCACTGTAAGTACCTCACTGTAAGTAACCCAAATTTTTGCCTTTTTAATCAAGAAAAGGATGGACAAGTGGGAATTATTTTTAGTGGTAAGCAACATTACGCCACAAGTGCTGTCGAGCTTAATGTGTTGAATCAGAAATAATCCTGTAAAGTCTGTCATGTTCAAACATTATGGTTGTCTGTTTGTGGACAGCACACTCGCTCCAGTGTCAATAAATAAACACCGCCTCTTCAAGTTTCTATGATTAAATCAAGTAGGTTACCTTTATAAATGTAGACACTGAACTGTCTCTGAGAGAAAAACTGAGCTCTGTACTTACAGAAGAGCTGTGGCAGATACCGATTGACAAGAATTTGCTATGTATGGGTGTTAGTATTCAGAGTGTGTGTGTGTGCTATTTCATTTTAAACAGCGCTTGATTAGACAGAATCCCAAGAGGAAAGGATTACAGGATTATGGCGTGTTTTCCCCAGAGACGATCGGCTACGCTAGGCCAGGCTAACATCAGTCACAGCCAAATTAATATGGGGCTCAGATAACACACACCAACACTTCTCATATCAGCGCAGAGGAGTGTGTCCTCTCCATGAACCCGGCTTACTGTCACACATCTCATATGTGCACAAAGGCGATCATAAAGAGGTTTGAAATGGCTTCGAGTCGACCCCAGATTATGAAAACCTCAGAAAACTTCTCAGACTTTGTTGATGTGACACATTAACACGTCATGATATAAACACACACACACCAATGACAAACACACAGGGATAAAGTAACGTGTGAATGTGCAGTCATTCCCAGCTTATACGTATTTAAGGCCACAAAAACCTCTATAGGAGCCTATAGCTAAAGAGAACTGATCATGAAGACACACAAAGCATAAAAACGAAATGATGAACATTTTTGTAATCTAAATAACTTTTTCCATTATGAAGAACATTTTTGTACAATGGTACAATGGAAAAGTTTCATAGATGTTAAAAGTTCTTAATGGAACCATAGAACCAAAACACCATACTTTAAATGTACTAATTTTCATATTCATACTGTATGAGCCTCATTGATATTTGTCAGTGAGAAGTGTATATGTATATTGTCCTCTGGTGCCATCTGCCAGTAACAAAGCAGGAGTAAAAAAAAAAAAATCCCATAATTCACAGCAGGGGCTCAACCAATAAGAAAATCACAGAAACTGGGTCACACAGCTGAGAGTCGGGCCTTGTCCAAATACCCACACTTGCGGTCTTGGCCACTTGAGTGCACGTGCGCGCGACAGGAAGTAAGTGCGCAAGACTTAAGTCCCAGGTCTTAAAAACGCCAAAGCACAGTGCCCTTAACGCTCACTAAACCCACACTATCTCGAATACCGTTCCGGAGCACTATTCGAGGCTTAGTGTATCCCATCATGCATCATGTTCTGGAAATAAATTGTGAGACTTTTTGCCGAGATCGCGCGAGCGGTAATGGAAACCTTTCCAGTGTAAGTTAGATATTAATATAATAAATATATATTACATATAATTTGATAGAAAAACAAAGTGTTGCACGTTTTATTGGTGTAAAGATGAGTAGTGTTGATATTTATTTTGTAAACATTTGCAACTGCTTTTTATCACTTAATTAGAAGCACCACAAATTAAATTGTGTCATGTTATAGGGACTACTGACTGAACAGACATTTAGAAGTTGATTTTAAAATGCAAAGTAAACACTTGCATTTTTACAACACTATAAGTATGTCCCATCAGGTAATGAAAAGTTCAACAGACACTTGTGGTCTTCATCCTCACTTGAACACTTGGGTTAAATACAGGAAATGTATATAAGTAGTCAAGTGCAAAGACCACAAGTGTGGGTATTTGGACAAGGCATCAGTCTATGAAAGATTGTGTGTGTGGCCGCAGTGGTATGTAAGAACACAAGCACACATCTCAAAGTCAGAGTTCCTGGCTACTAAGAAACTTCTTTTCGTTGTTCAGGTATGAAAGGGTTGATCTGAAATGGCCATCTCGCCTAGCCCCACCTGCCCACATGCACCCAATAAGTGTCACCTTCCTGTGTGTGTTTCAAAAAAAAAGATGATGCAACATTATGGTAACACCCAAACAGAGAGAGCGTGCGCTCACTCACGTGCAGTTTCTGCATAGAACAACCACAGCAGACACAAGGTCATGCTGAAAAAGGTTGTGTAGTAGCTACCAGGTACCCAAATTTTCATCTGCCATACAGGTTTAAAGGCATTGTTTTAGGGAAAGCCACAGTACCTCACATTATACTTTAGTATAATTATAGTTTTGAAGACAAGATAATAGCCTATTCACTGAAACTGCTGTTGTTTAACCTGCAGATGTCCGTGTATTTGACATTTAAATCAAATTAAACCTATAAATCAGTCATTGCATATAGTAGTTCACTGAACACTGACTGCGTTCTGGAAAGGAGCATTGTCTGGCTAACTTTGAGACATTTATAGTACGGGCACTTAAAAAAGCTCCACTAGTCTCAAGATCCTGTGTTTGGAGAATGAGAAGTTTCTAGAAGCTTGTGAAATGGCGTGCATTGCCCTGGTATGTCCTGGGTTCACACAGTTTAACAGAAGAGAATGAGAAATAGAAATAAACTGTAGCTGGCATTTAATTGAACAATTGTTGTAAATCACATGACCATTTCCAGTGCAATAGCTGTACAAGGCCTCATAAAGGTACATCTTAATTAGGCTAACTGTTGTTTGATAAAAAAATGCCAGATGCTAATGCTTGAAATTAATAGATTTAAAAGATCATTCTTGGTCTACAAATGTTTTAGGTAAGAACGACCTGAAATCTGAATAATGCTCAATAATGGGGATTCCTTTATGACAAATTTCCCTAGACTATCACAGCTGTGTAAGTAGCGTTGATGGAAAGCACGCCCTTTTACCACGAATCGGTTCTTTTGAACAGTTCGTTTCAGTGAACCGGTTCGTTTGATTTGTTTATATCATACCGTATTTAGGTCTATACAATTAATGCTATTCATTAAAACCAACTATTATATACTCAGTTCAATGAGTATGTGATTTTTTTTATTATCTCGTGAAAAGCTTGGACCCAGATTGACCGGTTTTGATTAGACCGATTGATAAGATTCGGTTCAAAAGAACAATTAGCTCGCGAATAACAGCCTTCTTCCATTTCCTTCTCCACTTGAAACGTTGTTGATAGTGTAACGAGGTTGTTTTGGGCATTTAACGCGACTAAACTGTTCTTTGTGCCTATTACTATTCAGACATGTATGTACGACCACATCTCGTCGTGTTTCTGTGGTGTGCGGTAAGTAAAGCCTTTAAACCTTGTTAAATTGTATAGCCTACTGAATATATTACTGTATACTCTATCTAAAACGCCCTACATCGACAACCATTCCTTGAGGAATACAGAAATGTAAGGAATTGGTTTTTACTATATTTGTTGATTTCTATTTTATAAAGAATTGAATACAATTTAGAGAAAAATAGTATAAACGTACTAAACATTTATTATAAATAGTTGAGTTTCACTTTCGCTTTTCGTTTCGCATTCTGAAGCGGTTTATGGTCGGTTTACCCATCTGCGGGTGACAAAGCATGCCTGAAAAGAATTTCAACAAGAAAGCGTAACTTTAATTTCATATATGATCTGTTAAGTGCAGTTTTCGGTGTTTCAGATGTTAACTGAAGGACTGACAGAAGGCAGGCGCCTGCGCACGAGACGCGGCGTCTGTGAGAACGGGACTTACCGGCACGAGGGAAGAAGTTGCTGCCTTTGTCAGACAGGTAAGATCTAATATAAAAACACATACACAGTATATATTGTTAGCGAGGTGGACTTCGTTTCTTATTTTACATCAAAAGTCTAGGCATAGGGTTTGAATAGATTTACATTCAGCTGGGCTTTGTTTTTCTGGTTGTAGATCCCTCTTATTACATGGTTACCTAACAAATGAATAAATATGAAATAGGATATTGTTTTGTGATCAGATGAACTTAAAGTAATTGCAATCTGAGTTATTTCTGGATCACTTGGATAAGATTGGAACTAAAGGATGTTCTCAAATACCAATGTGTGTATTTGTGTGTGCTGCAGGTCATCGGTTCTTAAGTCACTGCACAGATAAAAATGACACAAAATGTGAGAGGTGTGAGCATGGCACCTATATAGATCACCCGAACAATGATGACAAATGCCAGCCTTGTAAAATCTGTGATTCCAATGGTAGGTCTTAACATCTGAACCTTGTTAGTTTTGTCAGCTAAATTGTGATTTTTCTGCAAATCAATGTTTTTTTTTTTTTTTTTAATGCTATAAACATTAAATTTAACAAATGGGCAGTAGACAGTCAACTGTTATTTATAAAATATTAGTCAAAACGTAACTATTGCTAGAGATGGGACTGTTTTCAAAGACTAGTATTGTGCTTCTTGAAGCCCAAATGGAAGCATGGGCAAAAACTAATTTTAAAAAGTCTTATTTCTGCTTTCTCTCCTTGCAATAGCAAACATGGACAAAATGCTGAACTGTTCGTCATCTTCCAACACTGTCTGCAGGTGCAAGGGCAATTATTACTGTGACAAGGGTGACCTGTGCAAGGCCTGTTATCCCTGTGACACGTATGTAGTCAGCCAAACGCCCTTTTCTCTCTGGAAAGAATGACAGATGTCTGTGTGTTTAGAAAGTTAGAATGGAGATTACTGTAAAAAGCTCTGTGCATGCACATTTCTTATGTTGCTCCCATTCAAACCAAATAAAATCTATGCAAAATGCAGACTCAGTTTGGTGGAAACATTAAAATGTTCTTGACATAAGTTATCTTTAGTCTCTCTCTCTCTCTCTCTCTCTCTCAAAAAGACAAAATAGACAAAATAACAGCAATGCTTGTGCTTTACATAACAATACATAGAAATATGAAATAACTGTAACCCTGGTACAATATATGCAATGTTTTTTTTCCCATGGAGTGTTTCTGCTCAGGGGTTTGCTAACAGTTCCTTGAAGATCTGAAATTTTAAGCATTTTTATACTAACTCGGTATATATTATATATTGGCTTTCAGTTGATTATTCAGACTTCTCTCTGTTTACCTATTGTTTACCCAACAGGTGTGAGAAACATGGAGTGAAAGAAAAATGTACAGAAACCACCAACACTGTGTGCCATGATGCCGAAGAGCCCGTACATCTGCAAGGCAAGGGCTGCTTTATCACTGATTTCAGTACATGCTAAAATGCCCGTGTCCCAAGAGCACTTCTGTCTACACACAGTATAAGCAATAACTGAAAAAGAGTCCTCTAAAGCTTATGCAGTATAAACACTAAGTACATTACAGATAATGGACTAATATGATTGCTTATTTCAGGGGTCATTGTAGCTGTTTTGGTGTCACTCATACTTGTGGCTGGTGTTGGTGTGGTGGTCTTTTGGCTATGTAGAAAACGCAAGTATCGTTTTAAGGGCAGACCGATCGAACCAGTGAGTCAATTCTCTTGTTCTAAACTTTCATTGCACCTAAACTTAACATTGTGGTGTTACAGTGGAATTTTTTTATTTGCATTTTAAAACTTTTGTGACTGATGGATTGGCTTGTTTTTTCCCCCCCATGTAGGCAGTACACCTAACAGGTATGTTTGCTTCTGAGAACTATTTGCTATGTTACCATGAACATTTTTTATTATTTTTTTTAATCAAATATCAGCAGTCCCAACGCCAGGTCTTTGGATTAACATCACGCAAATTCAGCAATTTCTCCCGAAATACATAAAAGTAAGGCTGATGATTTGCTGATTTTTGAACAATGTTGCTGGGCAACTTTCCGTCTTTCCATTTGCCGTCAACAGGCAACCAGGTGATACACAGTGCCCACGACCGATCTAAAGTATCCAGATAGAAATTTGTTACCCATTCTCAATGGGAAAGTGCCAGCAGGGGCATCATGCACTCATGATTTTTGAGGGGGCACGTTGGGGGGGGGTGAATCATGCTTGTCATGTGACACACAGCAGCCACGATAGCACTGTATAACTGATATAGGCTTATGTTTTATTAATTTTTTTCCGAAATATTTCCAAACGTGTTAACTACAGGAAATATCATGATTCTCAAATATGTGTAGCCTAAGTAAATGCGTTTTGCACCTTTATAGATTGTTATTTGATCAATAAATGGTGATGGGCAAAGTAGACTAATAGTGTAATCTATTAACTACGCATAAAAACCCAACTTTTTACTTAAGTACCAGACCATTAGGCCACGACCAGGGGAAGTCGGACTCGTAACCCAAAGGTTGCGGGTTCGAGTCTCGTACCGGCAGGGATTGTGGGTGGGGGGAGTGAATGTACAACGCTCTCTCCCACCTTCAATACCACGACTGAGGTGCCCTTGAGCAAGGCACCGAACCCCCAACTGCTTCCCGGGCGCCGCAGCAAAAAATGGCTGCCCACTGCTCTGGGTGTGTGTTCACGGTGTGTGTGTGTTCACTGCTGTGTGTGTGCACTTTGGATGGGATAAATGCAGAGCACTAATTCCGAGTATGGGTCACCATACTTGGCCACATGTCACGTCACTCACTAATAACAATATTGTAAGTTACTAATTATAACACTTTAATTTTACAGAGAGTAAAGAACATTTACATTATCAAATGACATTTTTATTCAGTCTAGCCAGAGTTCAGGCACTCCAAAAACTCCCATTATAATCACTGAAGCTGTTTGATGTGTTTTTAGTCGTTTCTTGAAGATGGTTAAGGACTCAGCTGCTCGGATTGATTTGGGTAGGTCATTCCACCAGGAGGGAACAGTTAGTGAAAAAGTCTGTGAAAGTGATTTTGTGCCTTTTTTAGATGGCACAATAATACGCCGTTCACTAGCAGAACGTAAGCTTCTAGAGGGTACATAACTCTGAAGTAATGAATTTAGGTAAATGGGTGCAGAGCCAGTGGTGGTTTTGTAGGCAAACATTAATGCTCAAACTCAAACTCATACTCTCTCCAATACGGTAGGAAGTTAAATTAAATTAAATGTGAAGGATGTTAACTGTGACAAGATGATTGACAACCAGGCCAGTTTACAGTGACAGGGAGCGTGTAACTATGCAACAGAGCAGTCCGTTAAAGACGCAACTGTATTACATGATAGTACGTCCCAAAGCTTGCCTACTCTTCTACTACACACTCAAACGTGTGTACTTCACCAAAAGAGTACATACTTTAAGGGTGTAGTATAAGTAGGCACATTGGGATGCAGCACAGGCTTTAGATTGCTTTCCGCGTTTAAAATCGCATTCCGGGGGTGGAGGGGTGGGTCATTGCAGGGGGGCTTCAGAACGTCATAATGGTAATTTTCTTGCATCATGCATTTGTTGAATTCATGTTCAGTTCATTCACTAATTTCAGTTACCAATAATGTAATATTAGCACCTCTTTGTGCAGTTATTTGTTGATAAATAAACTATTTAAAATAACCATTAAAATAAATGCATGCCTTGTTTTGTACCCTATTGATGGAAAGTGTCTGGAATATAAAGACATTAGATCACAGTAATAGCAGGACAACAAGCTTATATCAGTGCTGTCTTCTTTTTCTGTGTAGATTTAGACCTGGACCCTTACCTACTAGATATTGTTGAAGTTCTGGACTGGAAAACAGTGAAACGTGTTGTCAGGCGCAGCGGCATGAGAAATGCGGAAATTGAGGAACATGAGCTTAACAACAAAAACGATGTGAAAGAACAGAAATACACACTTCTGCAGGCTTGGTCCCAGAGACAAGGTTTACGTGGAGCCTACCCAGCTCTCATCAAAACTCTGCATGAAATGAAGCAACGAACAACAGCAGATGAGATCCAGACAATTGTTGAGAAAGGACAGACTGAACGAGGTGTGAATTAAAGATGCAAGATGTTAAAATATAGGACTTTGCCTTGAAATTAGATCTGGAGGAATATAGATAGCATTTCTAAATAACAGCCATATTGTGATTTTATTTTTTTCTTGCTTAAATAATGTTGATCATTAAAAACAAAAATTCCAGATATGAATTGTTTGCTATATTTGGTCATTGACAGGTCATATATAGGTCATTTTAGAATGATCTGTAAAGGCAAACAGTTGGAGTCATTCAATCTTGTTTCGGTGTCAAATTTCCTTTTCTCTCAGTATACCTCCACCCTGATTTTATTTGATAATTCAATGTTATTTTTAATGACTTTTTGTTTATACTCAGGGCTCACAAAATCGCTAGCCTAACATCACAGGGCTATTGTGTTTTCCAGTCAGGCTACCAAAATGTATCACCGCAATCTTAAATACAGGGTTCCCGAGGGTCCTTAAAAAGTCTTCAATGCAGTTGTATCAAATTTAAGGCCATGAAAAGTCTTAAAACAGTGGTTCTCAACCTTTTTTACTCTAAGGCCCCCCTCCTCTCCGAATCAGTACTGCAAGACCCTTCGAATGTGGTGGACGGCTTATGTATAGCGGCCCATAGAAACAGTCGCTAATGAGGCATCTATGTTTACATTTCTATGGCATTGAATATGCATTTTCAATAAGTCTGCTATTTAGATCAATGTGAATAAAACCGAAGTTTAAACTAATATGGTTTAAAACTTATGATTTCAGCGCAATAAACATGATAATCAGAACCAAAACAGATGTTTTTTAGTAGGTATGAGCTGTAATGGCCCAGCTATATTCTGGAAAAGGGGGCGGGGAGCAGCAGCTCATTTGCATTTAAAGAGACAGGCACGAAAAACAGCGTGTTTCTGCTTCCACTCAAAATAGGCATTTTCAAATTGATATAATAAATGATCTGTGGGGTATTTTGAGCTGAAACTTCACAGACACATTCTGGGGACACCAGAGACTTATATTACATATTGTAAAAAGGGGCATAATATGTCTCCTTTAAGTAATTGCGGCCCTGTTTACTGAAATTTTTTTAACAAATGTGGTCAAACTCTTAATTATCATATTCAGAGTCACAACGGCCCAGACTTGACCAAATTCCTTCAAATTCTCCCAATAAGTCCAGCATTTAATGAAAAATCATTTTGCAGTTTCACAAATACATTGTTTTTATCAGCTTTCTGATAAGACTATCATAGATTTGTTCAGCTACAGCTGGCAGAATGATTACAAAAATTTTAGACTGATCTATAAACAAAATCAATCAATCAGTGTTATTTAAGTGTCAAATTTCTTTTTCTCTCAGTATACCTCCACCCTGACTTTATTTACTTAATATGTTATACTGTTCATCACAAGTAAGCTTTCAGTATTAATTGTATCATTGCTTACAGTGACATCTGTATATGCTGGGTCACTTCACTTGAAACGATAAAAGATGATATTTCAAGTAATTGCAGCCCTGTTTTCTGAGGACATTTGCTGTACAAAATAAAATTATTTTGTAACAAATGTGGCCAAGCCCTTAAATGTGGCATATTTATAGCCACAAAGGCTCATCCTTCAAATTCTAATTAGTCCAGCATATAGTGCAAAATCAATTTAAACAATTTCACAAATGTAGTGTTATTTCAGCTTTCTGATAATCGCAATGGTGTTTTTACATACAGTAGATCTCATTAACAGTATGTCCTATAATGACAACAAAAGTATTTAAAAAAAAAAAAAAGTAAAATTTTTATTTTTTAGCCTTCATGAAGGCCTTTGTGCTGAAAAGCGTTGGCAAAATAGTTTTTTTTTTTACAATTCCATTCTCTGAATAGTTTGACTTCTCCACTACACAAGTGTACTTTTGACTTCTTCCATTCACCTTGTTGATTATGTGAAGCTGCACCAGAATACAACATATCTATAATAATAACAATGCATGTCATAAATCGCCACATTATAAAACATTGTATTGTCTAATTAATTTATAATTTCTAATTGATTAGATCTACCCGCTTCATTGATTTTGAAACTTTGTGTTTTCTGTTTGCAGTAATATGTGAATTAAAAACCTTTTCACACAGCCAGTGTCTCATAAGTTGAGTGATTTTCAAACATTAACATTTGGTTTCCTTTCACATTTTTCTAAGGAACCTTAGCTTACCAAAGAGGAGAATGAAGATACATTGTGACAAACTGAAATTGATCTGTTGTAACAAGAGTTCCAGTACAAAACAAGGTCACATACAAATAAATATGTATTGATAAGTCACAAGGTATTTGATGTACTTTCTAAAAATCAAGAGATTACTATAGTGTAATTTGTTTCTCTTCTTGTTGAATACCCATAATTCTTTTCGAATGAGCTATCATATTGATTGCAGCACTAAAATGAGAATAGTTGAGACACATTTATGACACTAAAAAGGATGACATTTCATTTGAATGTTTTAGGACAGTGAGGTTGACAGTAGTGTATGCAGTTGTATACACTTCTTTTCAAAAGTTTGGGTTCAGTAAGATTTTTTTTTTTTTTTTGAGAAAATTAAATTAAAACTTTTATTCAGCAAGGCACATTAAATTAATCAAAAGGGACATTAAAGACATTTATAATGGTACAAAAGATTTATATTTTTAAATTAATGCTGTTCTTTTGAAATTTCTATTAATCAAAGAGTCCTGAAAAAAATATATCACGATTTCTGAAGAATCATGTAACACTGAAGACTGGAGTAATGGCTGCTGAAAATTCAGTTTTGCCACCACAGGAATAAATTACATTTTTAAATTATTTAAAATAAATTATTTTAAATTGAAATAACATTTCAATATTTGTAATCATATTGGTGTTTTTACTGTATTTTGATCAAATAAATGCAGCCTTGGCAAGCATAAGAGACTTCTTTCAAAAACATTAAAATCTTACAAACCCAAAACTTCTGAACGGCAGTGTACAATATAAACATAATGAGCTTTGAATGAAGCAGTGTAATTGTAACTATTGGGCAAAGCACATCTGTTCATTTCTCTGACCGCCAATCAGATATCAGCTGAGAGAGAGACGCATATTAAAATAACAAATAAGTATCAAATACAAAACAAGTTTCTTTTGTAGCAAACACATTAAAATATTTGGAGCATTTGACTAGTAACTAGCATTTTAAATTCATTAAATTTTTAATTTCACCTTTAAAATCCCCATAAATCCTGTATTTCGGCAGTAAAGCAGTGTTCTTTTGGTCAGTGCCGTGTCCATTAATGCTATAAAAGAGCTTGTATTTGTGGCAATCGATCTCACTGATGAGAGCTTCGGATCAGGGACACATAAAACTCTTATTATAACACTTTTTAACTCCGGAGGGGCAGTTTCATGTTTCTTGACAGCAATGGAATTTTTCTACTGCTTTAGGAATCTCCCGTGTACCTGGTTGTGAGTCAGTTTAAGCAAGAGCTCCCTCTAGTGCAGCGGATGATCACTCTCACAGCAGCCAGAATCACAGCACTGCAGATCAGAGAGACTCCACTGAGAAAGAACGTAGCTGTGTAGGAGCCTGTCTGATCCACTAGACAACCTGAGAGAGCGATATTTCATAAAACACTCATTTAGTTAAATTTTCTTTTCATTTAGTTTAAATATCACAGTTAAATAGAGAGTGGAAAATTTGCTCTGACCTCCAATAGGCGGGCTGATTAGGTAGGGGATGGCGTGAAGAAAGTAAACAACTCCCAGAGCTGAGGTCAGGTGGGTGGAGCTGACAGTGTCAGAGGTCACCACAGGAATAAGTGCCACATAAGCTCCATCAAAGTAGCCGTAGACGAGAGAAAAGGGGACGAGCAGGGAAAAAACATTCAGCAGAGGCAGAAAGAGACAACTCAGCCCTTCTGACCCCACAGCCAGCATGTAACTCACCACCCTATATGGCCTCAAACACCTAAACACAAATACACATAGATACAGATCAAACCACAGCGTTAAAGATGGGAATCATAAAGAATTACAGTAGCAGTGCCGTTGAATAAGTAGTGCAGGAAACTAGCATTGTAGAATGGTGTTCCGGTATTTTTTTAATAAATACAGCCTCCGGGACTGCATCCAAAATTGCATATTTCTCTACTATATAGCAGGTGAAAAGACACCAATATTTTAATGATTCAGAAATTACTGTGTAGCCAAGTAAGATTTCATTATGGAGATAACAGAGCACATTGTGAGTGTGTATTAGCACTGTTTGTTGTTTGCTTTTGGTATCTGATCAAGCGTTTGGGCCCTGAAAGGGTGAAGCGTGACATCAGACTTGAGCGGATAGGGTTGATTCCCAATTGTATTGAATGTTTAGACTTAGTCTACATTAGAAGACTTGAATATGAATTTAAAACAGATTACAATATCACATTTTGTATGCCTACCTCCACAGGTTTTATGAAGTTAACAGACGTAGTGTAGATGTAGCTCTTAAATGTCTGTAATATTGCAATTTATCAGTAAATTTGGAAAAAAAAAAAAATCACAACAAACTTACTTACTTTCTATCTGCAATCCATCCAAAAGTGATTGTACCGACAATCCCTGACACTCCAAGTATGGACATGAGTAATGCTGCCTGTTGAGGGCTGACGCCTGCACTCAGGGAATATGGCACAAGATACACAAATGGCACACTGCAACCATATGCAAGGAACAGGAAGGACACCAACAGCAACAAGAAGTCTGGTATCAACAGGAAGGAATATTCTCTCAACACTGTTTTTCTTACATTGTCCCTGGACTCCTTCAGTAATTTTGTGTTTGCCACTTTTGACTGTGCCAAAGAATTGTGGTTAGTGTTTGCTTTGGATTTTGATTCTGGGATAGTTGTGTCCTCCTGGTTGGTGGGCAAACAGTCCAAAGGCAAGTCACCTAATTGTATTAAAGCTGAGACTGAGATGTCTGTGTCTGAGCACTTTGGCTTTGATTCTTTGTCCCATTCATCTGTGCTTCTGTTCACAGTCTCTGAGTCTTCTGAGAGATCCTGTCTATAGTTTATTTCCACATCGGAGTGTGTTTGCTTTGCATCAGAGGGCTTTGACTCGTCTATGTCTATCCGTACTGTTAGATCACTCTGCATATTCTCAGCATGTTCATTTTTCCCTCGCTTGTCTGTGTCCATCTGTTTTACTTCCACTGATCTCTGTTCCTGCGCACTCACTTCCATATTGTGCCTTGCATCAGCAAGTTTCACATTTAGGAAATCAACCTTTTTGCCACTCTCCAAGTCCACCTCTTTCTGTCTCCCTCTTTTGCCTTCCAAAGGCCTCATAAGGGCTCCACAGACACACAGGTGGGACACCAAACCCCCCAGAATGAGCAGCGCGCCCCTCCAGGAGAAGAACTCAATGAGGAGTTGGACAGAGGGTGCCAGTATGAAAGTTCCGATGCTGCTGCCTGACATGGCGATCCCGTAAGCCAGCGCTTTTCTCTCGCTGAAGTAAGAACCCACCATAGCAATTGCAGGAGTGTAACTGAGAGCAAATCCCACACCTGCGTGGAAAAACATGGTTCATATTCAAGACTACGGATATGCCTGCCTAGTTTGTTGCAAACTGATATAATGGTTGCAGGGCAGCGTGACTACATTAGCTTTCCCGAATTATGATTATCAGTGTAGTTGAATGCTAGTTGTGTATGCAAATCTGCATCAAACCTGTAAGAACACCAAGTGTAAGATACAGGAACTCCATGCTGGCGGCCAGTGAGCTGAGCAGTAGGCCGGCAGAGGAAAGAAGCCCACCAATCATGATAGCTATACGAGAAGAGAGGCGGTTCCCTATATAACTACCCAATGGAGCTATACAGAGAGAATGAGAAAAAGAATAAAGAGAAAGTAGTGGATAGCATGATAGTGGGGATTCTTATTGTTTTCACGTTATGACTGATAACTGAAAAAATTGACAATATTAAAATTCAGTACTATTTTGTATAAATTATAATTTTAAATAATTTTAAAAGCTACAAGAGAATTCACTTAACATACAGTATGAAGAGTGAATATTAATTTCAAGATCTGCTAAAGATTACATTTAACACTGTTATTAAATTATCAATGTTTTAAAAGATTCACTTTAAATGTAAAAATATGGGAAATGAGCATGCACAATTAAATATTGAATATTAACTGATAAATATACAATATCAACCTATACTGATAAATAAAAGAATATCATTTATGACACTTCACTCTAAAACAATTTATTCTAAAAAAAAAAAACAGCCTAGAAAATGTGCTTCATGTGGTAAGAGGATAAATGATTTTATTCAAGTCAACATTATTTAACGTCTCTGTGTCAATCTACATCTATTGAATTACACTGGAAAAGCTAGTGTTAGATCACCAGTGCTAGATCAGGTGGAAATATCTCCTTAAGGTGACATTTGCAGGTTAACACTTTTTACAGTTAGCATTAACCCTTACATATGGTTTTTATTAACCTCTACGGTGCTTTTAAGTGTATGTTTATCTTTATGATTAATAAATATTATGTAATCTCTAATGTTTGTCAAATACCATAATATGGCTAACTGCTTAAACTAAGTAAAGAATTGTGAAAAAACAGATAACAGAAGGCCTTAATAACCATTAAAAACATAAACATAAAAATGAAAATGTGTTTCTGTGAACATTCTTTCTCACCAGCAGCAAGATAAATTTGGTTTAGAGTGGACTATGCACTGTAAACCTGTCAACAGAGACTTTTTTTTTAAAAATTTTTTATCAAAGTTCTCCTAAAATCAATAGTTTTATACAGTTTGAGCTGCCACCTCTAAGTCACAGAGTTTTTCTATAGAAAGAACATTGGGGGATTTTTTTTTATTTTGGCATGGGTCTTACCACACAACATTGTGGTGCAGTCCAGCAAAGAGTGTATCCATGCAGTTGCAGAATAATCTCTGGAAAAGTATGACTGGAATTCCACAAAAAATATGGAAACACACCTGCAACCAGCATGAGAAAGTGCAGATTTGAGAAAGCAATATGATAAAGGTCTTCTGGTGCATTTTATTCCTTTTAACATTTTTATCAACATCCAAAACTGGGTGTCATGAACTAACCTAGTGACTGCACGTGTGCAAACGGTGGTGAGGAAACATCCAGCCACGATCATCCAGCCCCATCCGCCATCTGGAGCAGCCGCTGGATGTGTTTTTTTTTCACTCATCTCTAGACTTCTGCTGGACAAGATGCTTCCTTTCTTCATCCTCTCCCTCACTCTCTCACTTCTTTCAGACTCTCGTTTCCTCTTCGGTCCAGTTTCAGCTGGTTTTGCTCTCTCCGGCTCTGTTTGGAACATATTTACTTGCTGTTTTTCTCTCATTACTTCTGTTCCTTCTTGCTTTCATCTATAAGGAGCTTCTAATGGCATCAAGCAAAATCTGCAGCAGAAACATAACATTTTTAAACTTTAGCCTTCTCAAAATGTATGTTCAATCTAAATCAGTCTGTATGAAAAAAAAAATCTGTTGTTATTGTGAACTTGCTTCAAATGACACTGTGGTGCATTGGAATAAATACTAAAATGTATCACTTATGTCTCTGAGATAAATGGGATAGTTCAGCTAGAAAATTGTCACATGTAACATTCTTGTCATCATTTGCTCACCCTCATGAATGTGAGAACACACGACTCAGGATTTACCACTCTATAGTTAGTGAGTAAGAGCAAAGTAAAGAAATTAGAGCAAAATTGTCCTGCCACATATACCGTACACTCCATATCCCAGTTGCATGAACTGCTTAGACTAGCCTTAAAAAGTTATTCAATTTGTTTTTTTTTCAAAATGGTCATAACTTTATAAAGTCAGTTACAAAAAGTTAGATTGGCCCAATTCGAGTCAGAAAAGTAAGACTTATTACCTCTTGGCTAACTGCTAGGTGGTCAAACTATTTCTTAAGCCACAGTCTTAACATAGTGGCTATGCAATTGGGCCCATGATACAGTGAACAAGTTACTACACACACACACACACACACACACACACACTAGTCTGATCCAAAGGGAGGCAAGGAACACAGTGTGTCTTCATCAATGCCAAGAGAGAGGGCCAAAAACTACTTCATGGGGCAAAAGTAGTTAGTTTATTGCAAAAATGAGCAGATATGGAACAAAGTTTCATTCAGCCAACCAACTTTGTAGTGGGCTTGATTGGTATAGACTCACCACACAGTCAGAACTGATGCGACGATTTTGAGTCTTCAAATTAAAGACTTAACAGGCCATTTCACTGAACATACATCTTATAAAACTTGACAAATGAGAAATGGTCATAAAAACATCTTACTAACTCAAACATCAACTCTAACCCGTGTCTTTAATATGTTTTTAAAGTAATTAACAGTTTTATTCAGCATTAAATTGATCAGCAGTGACAGTAACGACATTACGATGTTACAAAAGACTTCTATTTAAAATAAATGCACAAAAATAATAAGCAGCACAACTGTTTTCAACAGTGATAAGAAGAAATGTTAATATATATCAATAACTAAAGGAATGTAATATGCATGTCCTGTAAGTGATTAACACTGTATAAACACAGAGCCAAAAACAGGCAAGGAGAATTGAATAGTCGTAAACAGCTGAATAGTTGAATAATCATTGAATAGTAACCAGGATAGTAAACTTGTAGAGTGAATGTAAAAATCATCTTTCTGGGTCAATGTAGGTACAAGCATTAAGTGTTCTGTCTTTAAACCTCAATAAACAACTATGAATTAGCAGATGAAAAGAGTCATAAGTTGTGTACAATCACTTGGGGAGTTTTTCTGAACAAAATACAAGACTGAACATTTGAAGAGGTCAAAGAGAACTTACGTACTCTAGAGCAGACGAGGAACAAAAACAACCACCGCTCTCCTCCACAGTGTGGTACAACACATTTGGCGCACATGGCTCTGCATCACTGCGCGGCGTGTGCGCTTGAACAGATCAACAGGGCGGAAACCACAGCCAGCCAACGCGAGGTGGAAGACTGGAAGTAGAGTGGACCTCTTGGTTGCTTTCAAGTCAGCGGTCTAAACTACCGTTAACTGCAGTCCTGGGTCTGATATGTGCCATGTTTTCCCTCTCACCCCACCCTGTGTGCATATTATACAAT